GTAATTCGAAACACTGATTGATGAAGTGAGGAGGCATTTGCCAGCCCCCCCCCATTCTAACTTTTAGGTGAATTTTTCTTCATGAAGGGGAAAAATAGCCGAGCAAGTGACTTGATTTATCGATGAATATGAAAGAGGAGCACAACTTAGCATAGTGAAAGATTTGTATTTTCCCACACAGGGATACGGACGGATCAAAATTTTTTCACATTTTCAGTTTCAATCAATTCAAAAGGTGCTAAAATCTCATCTCATTAAAAAATCTTTGAAGATTCTTCATTTGAACACCGAAGAAGCAGCATGGAATGAATTGTTCGCCTATTCAAGCTATAGCACGCCTCTGTACGATGAACGGCTCCTGAGATAACAATCTTGCCGTCCATGGGGTTTTTCCATTTTCCGCTAAAGTTCGGATAGCGATAACTCGCTAACCGCAGGTAACCGCTAGCTAATCTTTTATTACGGAGTTGTTGGATTGACTGCAATCGTTGGGAATTTCCTTCCCGAAAAAGGAGATGGTTGAGCGCACCCCCTGATTGAGTTCGTATGGTGAGACCTAGAAGAGTCTTGACAATTTCAGCCCCATAAACTTCATATGACGTCCTATGCGCACTCAAATCACTGGCATGGAAAATATTAATCCCCCAAGTGGCTATGTGGTGGCACCACGAAGTGGGTGCCGCTTTAGACGCGCATACCAGCAAGGTAATGTACAGAGGGATTATGTGGAAAAATAAATTCCAAGGATTGGCACCTACACTGAAAAAATCAATTGCCAAATGACAAAAAAGTGAGTCCTGGATCGCCTGGGAGACACGGAATAATGGCACGAGTCTTGACGCACTTCGGTTTCATTTGACACGTCTTACTGTATCTACGTATCTCTATCTATGTATCTTACTGTATACACGTGTCCACCCTCGTGACACGTTTCATCGGGACCAATATGAATAAATTCTCTTATGACACATACATGTGTCAAATGACTCTATATCGTGTCATTTCTCTGTGTACCCTCTCGTTCTTCTCCATAATTTCACTTCGTGCCTTTCTTTTTTCGTACTTCTTGGGATTTCTCAGACAATTACTTGCGTGTCAATTACGTCAACTGTACCACGTGTGATTGGTTGGAATGCGATTGTCAAATGTAATCGCATGAAATTTAAAATTGATATGTGAATGTCTGAAATGTGATATCAAGTGTGACGTATGTGATATGTGTATCAAGTAGTGAATCGGCATCACACTAATGGCTGGTGTAAGACCGAGAAAATGTTTCCGAAAATCATAATAATGAGATGAAAATGACGGAAATTATAGAAATGACGCAAACGTGCTCAATAAACGTTTGTTCCTATGGATGGAATCCTTAGCAGCAAGAAATGAAGAATCCTGGTGTCACTCAATAGACATGCATAGTTTTGTATGGAGAAAACGGAAAAGAAATACCGCTGTGTAGCGTATGCCTGTCAAAAATATTATCTGGGTTTGTGTCTAATCCTCAAATTCCCACATCTAATTCTCAAACTGGGGGGCGCAACAAAGTCTCACCGGGATGGGGGGGACAGAGCCTGAACTTACGTTATTTCATTTCATGATTGATTTGGACGTAGTATTTTTCCCGTAAAATCGTGCTTATATAACATCTTATTTTGGTGATATTGTTTCACATTCCTTCTCAGCCGAATCAAGGAGTTCCAAGAAAATTATGAAATTGGAATTCAACGTTTTCCATACAGAACCAGAACGCTCAAGGAATGTTCAGCGCACGTTCTATTTCAGGTACAGCCAACGTGCAACGAACGAACTTATAAACTTTCATTTTCTGTTCAAATGTCCGAAACTTAGTCCAAGAACGTTGAAATTATTCGTTCCCTGAAAGCTCGTCAAAGACGTCCTCCATTATGATTCAGCCAACAAGCAATGAACATCCTGGAAACGTTCTCTTCGCAATTGACAAATACAGCCCTGCTCCTGTATGAGGGGCCATCAAGCAGCCGAGTCTCTCTAACCATGATAGGGTGTACCAGATGTGGAAAAAGTTCTGTAACCTAGTGACCAGGTGGTTACCGGGAAGGATAGCGACCGATCGGGAAGGCAAGACAGGGAGAAGAAAAAAAGCTGAGTGAAGAAAAGCGAGAGAGAAAGAAGTAAATAATGTGAAGAGGGGGAGAGAGAGGGAGAGCGGGAAGACGAGAAATGGTCGGAGTGTTTGGAATGAGGGATGGTAAAGGATTGAAAGAAGGTAAATGACGACTGACTGCGAAAAGATCAAGCTCCCAAGAGGCACCGGCAAGATGATATCAGTGGGACGGGAAAATCAAGCCCAGAGCGGATTCGAGAAGATCTCCTCATGTAAGTTCAGGGGCAAGGATATAGATTTTTTCTTCCCGTGCCTTCCCGCCCGCCTCCGCGTGTGGGCTTGTGTATTCCCGCAATCCTGGAGTCGTAGGATCTCGCCTTAATGAGGATAGAAGGTGAGAAGTGGGGACATCAATCAAATTCGCCTGACTGGGAAGCAGAGGCGGCCTTGTCATCGGCATAAAAAGGGATAATCATTTTGAATGCGCATTTAATGAGGTGAGAGATACTAATCACCGAATTATACGGTGTCTTGTCAAGGCCCTCCAGAGTGGCTAGGTGCGTGAAGGCTTTTTTCACCTGCCGTTAAAGTGACTGCGCTATAAAAGGTCGTGAATGCGCCTATTCCATTTGGCCTGAAAACATCTCCTGGTGTCTGGCCGCGGACCCACCCAACCCAATGAGCTTCACTCCACTTTACTCCCGACTTCAAGATCTCCCTCAAACTCCAACCGACCATCAAACACCTCTATACCCCCAACTGTACATTCTATTCCACCCCACCTTGTATCCTCTCTCTGTAAGGGCATGCCGTGTAAATAAAAGGTCATTGAACTGGCCTATTCCACACATTCTCTTTTGAGTCCTCGCCGAGGCAGCTTCGTCTGGCTTTCGATCATTCGTCTCTGCGCTGTAGACCCGAGGCTATATCTGATTCTCGTTTCTGTTTAGGCATTTATTTTCCTTTCTTCATAGCTTTTCCTTCGTCGTATTGACATTCTACTCGACTGCTCTCTTTTACACATCAGCTTCGTCTTTTGAAAGCAAAATAAAAATGGGTAAAAGCATCGGACAATCCTGCATTGTACCCGCCTGTAGAAATTCATGGTGAAATTCACGTCATCATGATTCGTCCACCACCTTCCACCTAGTACCACGGGATGATGTAGCCAAAGAGAAATGGTTATTAGCTTGTGGTCGAATGGACTTGCAGGATAAGACAAGGAGCTTTGTTTTCTCCAATCATTTTCTTCCTAGTAACTATGAAGAGGGGCATAAGAATAAGCTTCTAAAAAAAAAATGGGCTGTTCCACTTTGTCTTACAGAACCTCCACACCTTGATCAAGATCAAATGCCAAAGTGAGGTATCGATGAGACAGCGAGGAGATATCTGAAATGACAATTCCCTCAATTCCGTGAACATGTTGCACCGAAATCAGAGAGAACTCCTCAATTGAGAGTAAGGCGCAGGGTTTCGCCAAAGGGGGGGGGGGGGGGGGGGGGGGGGGGGGGGGGTGGGCGGGGGGGGGGGGGGGGGGGGGGGGGGGGGGGGGGGGGGGGGGGGGGGGGGAAGGGTTGGTTGAAGCCCCCACGGCCCCTCTCGCCACGCCACTACTAAGGCGTCATCTCACTCGATTGTACGCGAGCCACTACTAGATGGCTGACCCACTGCCCCAAACAAGAAGCACAGATATTAAAGAAAATCTACCTTACTAATGAGCGTGTCTGTCCCCGAGGCCGCTTCTCCTAGACGGTTTTATCTCTGACCTTGAAACTTTAAACATAGGCTTCCTAGGGGTGGGGCATCAGGACGATGGAGTTTTGTGGCCCTGCCTCCGATGGATCGCTGGGCCGCCTTGGTTCACCAGGGTCATATTTCGTCAAAATAACCTCATTCATTGCGTGTGGGAGTTACTAAATCCCCGGGGTTTCCCGGTCAAGTTCATTTTTTTAATGTGACTTTTCCCCTTTGAGATATTAGGTCAAAGGTCAACATTTCAGAGTCATTTTCCCGGCCAAGCCGTGTACTCCAAGCACAGGATATTTTGTTCTACGGTAGCCTGTGTGTACAGGTTGGACCCGGAGGATCCGGGCTTCGACTAGCATCGCTTTAACGTTTAACGGCACCCTGAGTATCCGAAAGCTGCTCATACGTGAACATAGGACGTTCTATAACCTCTTTAAACACAGGTTGAACGTTTTCAAGAACGTTCTGTATTACTTGGGTAGTAGCATTAAAGACAAAATACAGATGCCATCTGGATACAGAACATGAGCTTTGGCCTACAAATGAGTTATTTCCATTATCAAGCTCAGATTTCATCATATGCACTCTGAACTTCAGTCTGAAGCAGCCTCATCTTTCTAATTTGATTTCTTGACATAACACCCAATCGTCCAATACTTCAACTGCTGCGATCCTGTTTCTACCACTTCTTTTCTTTCACTGCATATATTAAAAAAAAATTCTATGTATGGGCACCATTAAAACAGGGCTGCAGGCTCGTGTACTCGGTCACTGTTCTCAGAAGGGAAGGGGACGCGACGTCAAGCCGGGATCGTTAAGGGGCTCATACGGTTTACGAAAAGTTTGAGCACCGATGGGCTAATCCCTCACCCTCGAATATCCTATACAAGTGTTAGCACTCTATATATATTTTCTTTCTACCCTTTTACATCTTTTTTCTACCCTTATACGAATCATGGGACATCTGACTAGTTTAGGAGCCAGATGGGACTGAGAATGGAAGCTCCACTCTTCCAGTACGTATAAATAAACGCCATATTCGTATGCAAGGGATAAGCAGGTCAGCAAGATAGCAAGGCAGATAATAGTCAATACTGTATATATTTCCTTCTCTCATTATAGACTTTATTTTTATATACTTCCTTTGAACGAAATGAATTCAGTTCTACAATATCAGGGCAATAATAAAAAAGTTTTATTTGGAGAAAATATATAATCCAAGGAAGAACTCAGGAGTGGGGGATTATCAGTGTCTGGATTTCCTGTGATTTTGGATTGACTTTTCTGCACAACTTCACTACTGGGTTCCATGAAAGGGGCCAGCAAATGTGCACAGTACTTCTCAAGGGTATGCAGGCACTCATGTATGACAGAACTCATTCCAAAATCATAGAAATCTAACTTGTGAAGACAAAGCATGAAGAATGTGTTCTTGATCTTCATCACTCTTGTTCAATGGTCCATTGCATGACACTGGCATCTCTGCCTCCAATCGAGATGAGCCTGCTATCTTCAGCCAGGAAGTGAACATCTGTCACATGACTGCTGTGTCCTCCAAACACATGGGACATGCTCTGTTCAAGAGAGCAAAGCCATGAGGATCAAAGGATGCATTAAATGATAAATAATTCAATGACATGGAAGGCAAGGTATGACAAGATGTCCATGCAACATATGTTACCTTAAGAAAATGGGAAGGGTAGGAGTAGAGTCTGACTTTGCCAAAGTCATCTCCAACAGCAAGGAGATTCTTGCCATGAGACCTGTCACATGCGTTTATGTCTGTTCCATCCAAACCCTCCTGCCAAATGCCAAGGACAGAGAAACCTAGGGTGCAGGTCTGTGTGGACCATTCTTCATCTCGCAGTGTTGATGGTTGTGTAATCTGCCTGCAGGTTGTGGCATTCCCTGTAGTCAAATCAGAACCACAAATATGTTACCTTGGGGTTAATGCAGAGTCCATCCTATCTGCATGTCTGATGAGATACCAGTAGCAATCAAGCACTCATCAGGCAGCCCACTCCCTAATTAGGCTTCAACATGAAATCTTATCCTTGGGAAACCTAGAATTGGCATTGCTCCAAGAGAGGAAAGGAAGAATTGAAAAGTGATTCCTGTACATTAGGAGGGCTTACAGAAGAGTATTTCATAGTCTCCAGAAGTAGACTGCAAATGAGCTCCATCAGCTGACCAGTCCAAATGTGTGATGAAACTAGAATGTCCCTAAAGGAGAAAACAATAGAAGCTTGAAGGTAACATCATTGGTATTCTCAGAGGAAGAAATTATGAATGCATTGAGGGGACTAACCGAGCAGCGTCCAACACGATCAAATTTGGTGAAATCTTCAGAGACCTCATAAATGTAGATGTTGTTGTCTCGAGAACCAAGAGCAAGGATGTTTCCTGAAGGAGAGAATCTGACAACCTGAATGGGTTCACTTCCATCTGTATGAGCAGAGAGATGTTCTCTCGTCTCAGCAATCATGGCAATCCAACGACCAGTGACAAGACCCACTACGAGGACACTGCCATCAGGTGAGAAGCATGCACTTTGCACTGCATCCTATTGGGAGTACATGCACAGGTATTATACTATTGTCTCCAAATTCATGAAGATAACTTTTGTGTGATAGACCAGAATCAGGAAAAAATACCTCCATGTCCTTGGACCAGACAGGAGCCCTTGCCATAGAGTCCCACATGCGAAGGACCTTATCATAGCCACCAGTCAAGAATTGGAATTGAGATGGATGAACAGCAAGGGCCCAAATCTCTTCTGTGTGTCCCATGATGAGAGGATTCAGGCCTAGGTCCCATGTTCCATGGAGAATGCAGTTTCGAGTCGTACCCACCAACAACATTGGTCCTTTCCCTTGGGCCACCGTCCTCACGGCACCATATGGCTCAGGCAACTAAATGAAAATTGGGATTATTCTGAAGCTATAGAGCACAAGATGCAGTGGACATAGACCACATATAGGAAGGTCAATACAGTTAGTTCCCGGCCAGTAGTGGTCCATGAGGATGAATCCCATTCTTTGAGAATGCCATCTTTCCCGCCACCTGACACAACAGACCCATCTTTCATGGCACAGATTGAGAAAACACCTCCTTCATGTGCCCCTTTCACAATTTGACCTTCAGAATGAGATGAATCAGTCAGGCCTACAATGATCTGCACCTGCGACTTCAATGAAGGAAAATAAATTTATCATCTTGAGCCTACCAATAGAATTGCTACCACGCTTCCAGATGATGATGTTCCCATTGGTATCCCCAGATATAATTTCTCCAGTGTCCGAAAAAGCAAGGCAGGTGACATATTTGGGCTTGTCTCTTTCAAACAGAGCCAGTTTTTTCTTCAAGGTCCCTCCCTCATAAGTCCAAAAGTACAGGTGTCCCTTCCCAAACGTCAAGATGGAATTCTTGTCTAATGGATGGAACTCAACTCCCAGCACTGTGTCAGCTGAACACTGTTAATTCCAAGGAACAGAAGTATGATAAAAGAATTGTAGGGTAAGAGTATGACCAAAATTCAGGCCTAGCATCAGGAGAATCACCTTAGTCTCTACAAGCTTAGAGCCACGTTCTCCCCGTTGCCAGTCCCACAGGGAGATGTTGTGGTCTGGGGCTTCATCAATGCAACACAACAAGGAGCCCCCATCCTACAGGAACACCAGCAATCATCACCAAATAATTGGGAGACATTAAAATTAATAATGAAATGGGCTTACCACTTTGGAGAATGCCAAGCAAGCAACTGAACGTTCAAATTCTCCTACTCCAAGGATGTGAAGTGTGTGAAGGCTGACACTGTCCCAGACCCTCACATGTGGCTACAGGAAAATATTGAATAAAATACACAAGCATCATGAAAGGGCACAGGCATGGATGAAAGATTATCAGAGCAAACCACCTGCACTCATGCATGTGAGAAGACTCTGAGAATCAGACATACCCATTCAAAAGCCTCAGAGCAGTCAGGATCAGCTGGTGGGTTCCTCTTCCATGACTGAGGATTTTTGTTTGTTGCAAATGACCCCATAGGCAGGCAGGCAGGCAAGCAAGCAAACCACAAGAAGGGGGCAACTCTGTTGGAATTTCTGCTGAAAATTAAGAATTTGGTTGCATTCAGAAGCAAAGACCGTATCCTGTACTTTGCTCCCACCGGGGTCAGATATGCATCAAATCTCCCTGCTCCTCGGACAATCCTNTATGCCCCCCCCCCCCCCCCCCCCCCCCCAAAAAAAAAAAAAAAACTTGACTGACAATAATTGAACTTTAAGAAAGAATTGCAAAACCACCCAGTCAACCTGATAGCACCCTCAGAGCACCCAAATGACTCCATGCAAGCCACCAACGTCCATAGATAGCAAGATGGGCTAGGCCTAAGGAAAGATCAAGAGAGTGTACTCACCCTTGCCTCCTTTCTGTCATGGCCTGCAGTCTGGCCTGTGGCAACTATCAGTCGATTTGGGTGAACAGCCAAGCTGTTGGGAGAGAGTCCAGCAAATGACGGAGTGAATTCAAGTGAAATATGGACAATGAATGCACAAGATGTGGGACATTAAGTAGCTGAGACCTCTTGATGTCATCGGTGTGACCCAAGTAATGTCGCTGACTCTGTTCCTCTGGGTTGAAGAGGACGGCGACAGCAGCTACGAAATAGACTATTTCCCCTGTGGGAAGCAGATGGACATTGGATCGACAGTCCTTCCCTCGATACCCGTATCTGCATGATCGTAGTCAAGGGCAACCCCACACGAGGAAAGAAGCAAAGGATAGAAGCAATATTAAAGGATACACCCATTCCAGCTTGAGTCTGTGGGTCGGTGGAAGCGTGGATTTGGAGGGGTCATAGTCCTCTTTGTTGAAGGTGGAAGGGGCATAGAGGACGACGGGGCGACCCCGAAGATGAAATTTCACCCACCCTTCCTCCCCGTTCCATGTCACATCCCGCATCCTGCGACAATGAGAGGAAAAGTCACCAGGTTTTCTTTCGTGTTTTCTGGAAGACGAGAAGGTCACAGCTCGTGAATATGCACGGATCCTAGTACCGAGACTGCATCTATCTGCGACTGCACTGAGATGCGCACGAGCACATAGTGGAGTAGGCCTAGGGCTAACTTAATGGGGGAGAACTGCATGAGGAATGCAAGCTGTGAGAGGAGCTTCGAGGGCAGGTTCAGATCCACGTGCAAGCATGCACGCCTTCGGGGCATTTAGCCTTCCTACTCTCGACCATATTTTCCCATATGGATTTCTTCCGAAATCGTATAGGAATCATTGCGACAACGAAATACTCGTACGTACCCCTGAAAAAGGTGGTTCCGAGAAGTGGGAGAGAGGGCTCCTCCGAAGGAATGTCTCCCCATACGATGAGAGTTGACCAGAGAACTTGATGACGGAGATCGCCTATCAGAGAGATAGAGAAAGGGAGAGAAACAATTAATTAATGACTTAATTAATTAAATCACCTTATTCAAAATATAGGAAAATGACGCGACGGCCGACCTGTCAGGGGACATGAACGAAGTGGATCCGGATCCAGCCGGGCTGCCGACGGGGAAATCCGCGGTGGAACTCCAACGTCGATTGGAAGGGGAAAGACCTATGACACTGTTGGGACGAGGATGATGGTTCACGTCTTCAACTCCGTTCGTCGTTCGAGTTTGAGCTGCCGGCGGGCTTTCGTGCAAACTCGTCGTGGAATGATACACGGCCGACGACGGTCTTCCCCTCCTGCTTGCAATACGACATACGACGTGCCGTTAAAAGAGTACAGTCGTGAAAATACAAGTCGTGCTTCTTTCAATTTCCAAAGCAAATGATGCAGCAGCATTCATTAGGTTCAACCTCGCTTCGTTTGGGAAATACCAATTTCGCGCTTGTGCCAACTGAGACATACCATGAGGTCGCAAGGTCTAACGTCGCCCCTCTGGCGCTTTCCCATGTAAGGAACTTCGCTGCGCCCGCTCCTTTTCTTCGTACTTTCCATCTCTAACATCCTGCAGTAATTGCCTAAGAGTCATGTCACTGATTATGTCATTTGCAACATGAAGTGAAATCCACATAACGCAGAAAAAATCTGCATCCAAAGGAGCCTATAGTGGCCAAGGCCTAAAGTAACAAAAGCAATCTGGGTATCGCTTCAATTTAGCAGTGCAGAACGCTCTTAACTGGATTCATGATATGGTTTTTCTCTCCATTCTTTACCTTCTTCCATTTCCTTAATAGACTTAAGTCGTACACTGCATTTCAGTCGCGAGGCTGGTCGAGCCAATCGAATGTTTACAGAGCCACTTGCAGACAGACTTGAGCTGCTAGTGCTTCTGATGTCCCAGATACAGCCTTACCTTAAATCTGTAGCTGCAGCACCTGACAGCAGAAACAATTCTGAATAGGATTTGTTCGGTCAGACCTGCGGCCTCAACTGAAGACCCAGGCTGCCTGCCAATTATCTAGGATATTTATTGAGTATCGAGTTTTGTGCAAACATCACTTGCATGGGCAAGAGAGAAAAGGAAAAGCAGAAATCTTCATAGGCACGCTAACAGAAGGGCACGCGCTAGGGATATTTGGGTACTGGAGACGTCTCCCTGGTACAGTTGGTGCGGCGCGACTCCATATTCCCTAACCAAGCGAGATCGAGACACATAAATCTCACATCACTCATGATAGAAAACCAAATGGAATACGTCCAACTCGTACATTCGCGACTGTATTCCTTCAATTTACAAGAATTATCCAATTGGGAAAAAAGCAGTTGTAACAGCATGAAGACTGTAATTTAATTAAGTTACGGTTTCCTTCGCATAACAAGATGGCATTACGAGTCAGGGTGACTTGAAACTCAATTTAATTATGAGAAAGTAACTGAAAAAATGAGCATAGAATGCAGTACTTATAACGCACTTTAAATGCTGACAGACTTTCATTTTCCAATCTGAGAAGACCATGCTGTCATGCGGACATTTTAGCTTTCGTATTGAAGTGCACGAAAGCACTTAACCGTTGAAGTCGGTCAATACAGACTCAGCATCCTGAGGACACATACTCCGAAAATAAATGTAACATTTATTTTGATAACTATTCCACATAAAATTACTTAAGTTATTTTAGGGAGGAATTAGGGTACAACCTAATTACTGGACCAAAGTTAATTTAATGAAGTTAAATGCACCCAATAGTGAAAAAGCTAAACACTACCTAGAAAATAGCGCAGTACCGTAACTAAGCGTTTGTTGTATGGACGTTCAATAGAACAATAAAGGGATGCTGTCCCAAAAGCATGTACAAGCAAAATTACAAGCCCTTGGATCGATTTTTGTCCATTTACGCAGATAAAGCACGGCAGCATGGAGATGATGCTCAACATCCAAAAAGCATTGATTTTACAATTGGACCTGTGAACAAACCAAAACCAGTATGCCTACTAGATCCACTAAGGACAGAATGACGCAAGTGAATTATGCGTCATGCAGGCCGCAGTGCGGCGTTTGGATTTCCCCATGCGCTTCCACGTGTGCATGACAACGCCGCGGCATGCCAATCATAATATTTTCCGTGTCTTCCTTCATGTGAAAACTCGCCAACAACCTGATGCGACGAGGATCGTTCACATTACCTGAGGGGGTTGGGTGAATTCCGAGACGATTCATCCAACACCCTTGAAAGTTTTTTATTTTATGGCAAATTGCTACGACTTTGCGTACAAAATTTCATTTAATATCACTCAACTCCTTGGTGTTGCTTTCTTTTACGGCGAGTATTAACAATTAAGCCTCTTTGGGATAATGTTGATAAACCATGCAGCAGAACAATGACCATCTGATGATACGTATGTGTTGTCATGCACGAGTTGAAACATGAAAAGAGGCCAAATGCCCTGCTGAAGCAAGGAATTAACGGTCTGGATGCCATTTTAACCACTTGTCACTCTGTTCGTTGAGGGTATAGTGTGCCTATGGTCTGTTCCCAGACTCCGTGGATAAGTCAATGTCTTTTGGGTATTGAGTTACACCTTCCATGCTGGCATGCATAATTTACGTGAATTTGATTAAGATCTGATGATGGGTTTGTGCAGAAGTATGCTTTTGGGGCTATGTCCCTAATTGTTTTGATGCATGAAGGTATCACTCGGCATTGACTCGATTCACTCTCTCACACAGAAGAGACTCACTTGGAGATGTTGTTGTAGTTGGGGCTCGCGACTGAGCGGCTGTGAGGCCGATGCCTCACGGAAGCAGGGGAATGACCATCCTTCAAATGATTCCGACTCCCCAGCACGACTGCTGCAGAGGATGGAGACAGTCTCTGACTCTGTCGTTCGAGTTAGTCTATAAGGCTTGGCCCACCCCCCCCCCCCCCCCCCCCAAGTCAAGGTAACGCCAAGTATAATGAAGCACGTTCCGCTCCCTGTCTCACAGTTCCTCACGGTCAAGGTCAAGGATCTCACCCTCATCAAATACGAAAAAAAGAAAAAAAGGCGGGGGCGAGAAGGCGCACTGTGTGTTCTGTGTAGGTGTCTCATTCTCGTATATGTATACACACTTTCCATTCCTTCCCATGTACCACAGGCCTGGAATGCCAAGGTGAACGTTGTAGCACCATTCTAAATTCATGCTGTACCTTTTTTTCTAATAAATTTCCTCGTATAAAATTTTTCTACTTTGCGGAAGTTACAATATCGATGTCTGTTCTATTTTAGCATGGGGTAGCCCAAGAAGAGCATACTGTCAGATCGCTATTTCGATCATCCATTCCCATCCACTCATCTTTGCGACACTACCACACTATATGAAATCAGGTTGGTGCCGACTTTATACTCGCGGCACTCTCCTTCGGCGAAGTATATTCTGGAGGTGAAAAAACGGTCATGGGACTTGCAGACTTCCTGGAGGTTGGGGCATACGGATAACCTAGGGTTGTCAACTCTCCCGGTTTGACCAGGAGATTGTTCCTACTCCGACTGAGACCGGCAATGTCATTCCCCTCCTCTCCGGGGGAGAATTGTTTCAATTTGATTACCAATTTAGTCCCAAAAAAAAAAGAGATTTCAAGGTGTGACTTGAAGAGTTGGCAACCCTAGAATTACCAGGGAGATGGCGGATGAGCTCTGGGTGACGTTCTAAACCAGCAGGTTCCAGATCAGCCATTTGCAAGAGTTTGTTGTTCCGACTCCAGGTCCCCTCTGAGATAGCAGAAAGGGAACGTTCGGTGAATGTGCCGAGTCAGCTAAGTCTCCATCGCCGTTACAGCGAGGCGTAGAATGCACCTTAGATAACGTAGTCCCTCATGCTTTCGCTTTTTTTTCGACTTGTTTCGAGGTTGTTCTAGTGTACGCCACATCGAAAAGGAACCGAAGCATGCGAATGTTCATGCACCCAACGTTTAAGATGAAGAGTAAGGCATGATGAGGACGAGATGGAACTAGGCCTTAAAGGAACCTTAAAGTATTTTTACTATTTATCGCTAACTCTAATACCCTAAGTAGATGGGGAAGGTCGTTGTTAGTAGTGGTATTTCATCCGAGTAACAGAGGATCTAGGCTGGATTTCAGAATATCGGGTGGATCTGAAGACCTCCGGAAGCATTCATCTCGGTAGTGCTGCAATGAGAGTTGCAAAGCTGATAGTTGTGAAGGAGAGCGAGGTCATCCGTTCGTCAGGCCCAAGGCAGGCATGAGTTAACCTAAAATGAACATGGTCTCTTGGCCTTTCTTACGCTCCTCACACGTCGGGTGAGGGAGGGCTCCCTCAAGACCCTGATGACAGTTCACGCACTCCTCGACTAACAGTTATCAATGTCATGCGCTTGTCCCAGTAACCAAAGGGGGTGTTAGTGTGGTACGGGGTTTGAGTCTCGCTAGCCCGACGTGGAGGTTGTGAGACCGAGGAATACGGAGTTAGCGAGATGAGTGATTGTAAGTCTAGGCGGATAATCTTTTGATTCGGACCATCCCATCTGCTTCTAGAGAGGATACAACTCACCGGTTAAGTCAGAAATCCATTACATGCATATATACCTTCCTGTCCATCCTTAACAAGCGTTAGAGATGAATCATGAGGATCGAGAGTATGCAAGCACTCAAGATCAACCATAATACCAGCTAAACTTGACATTGCAGGGAGCTTAGGAGAAACTCAGTAGCGATATTTTAAAACTACGCGACTGCACAATTTGAGAGGTGAGGGTACCCTGCATGTCCTTGGGGTCAGGCGCTGTCCTACTCCCAACAAATCTTTGGCGTCACTTACAATAGCATATAAAGGCCCTTTCATACTAGTAAATCTCCGGTGTAATGGAAATTTTAAGCAAGAAATTTTTCACTATGGACGTACCATCATTCATACCTCTTTGAGACTCCAATAAGGCAAGGCGTCTGAGGGCATCAGCCAAGGTCGCCCGGAGGCACATCACCTCATCTGTCTGCACAGTCGGGAGCGAAACTTCAACGCAATTCATAATAGAGGGGAAAATAAGGTTTGAGGAGGGAGATCAATGAAATGAGTAATGAGGTGGTTCGACGGAACGATGGATCGATGGAACATTCTCTTTCCAAATGAAAAAATTTCTATTTTTCTGTCCTTACTTTGTAGAGCCAAGGGATGGAGAGAAGAAAAACAAAATCGTACCTGATCATGGAGCTTCCTTTCCAAGTCCGCAACACGTTCTCGAAGGCCGGAAGCTTCCTCGTTTAGCATCTCATCTGCACGTACACACAGGATTCACGGATGATGTAGGTGAGAGAGAGAACATCGGCATGAGAAACATAACGATGAAGCAGCTAGGAAGAAGACCGCTGTGGACTCACTCCAAGCGGATTCAGCTCTGGAAGGAACTGATGACGGCATCACACTTCGCTGTCTTTAATTACCCCCACACTTTCTCTCATTCCCCCTCTCGTACGGATAAAAAAGAAAAAACCTCTCACGTCCTGCACACTTGTACAAGCACATCTCGATCACCTGCATACATTACGGTTGTGCCCTGGTACACTCTATAGCACAGAGAGAGGGATGAAAAGCGAGATATGGGAATATACAATGGGGAGAGAATCGCTCGAGCTTGGTTGAGGTGAGGGATTTCGCAAGAACGGAAGACAATCAAGGAACGGATGATAACCATCGTATTCACGTATGAAAATGGAATCGAAGCCGAAACCTGACGAGTCCTTTACTCCATCCTCACTACGCTAGTTTTGATGGGAAAAGCCAGTATGCCGTAGAGAGAGTGGAAAACTCCTCTCCCGTGAAGAGGCGTAGGATGATAATAGAAATGCTCACGAATTCCCTCTCGGGGCGGAGGAACGAGCGAAAATTGGGGGAGGGAAATGTCTCCATACATCGCAGAACACTAACACGATGACCACTTTGGGGCTGGGAACCTTCACAGTCGAGGCGCAGCATAGGCATAAGCATAGGCACAGCCATCGACCCACCGACCCTCTCAACAATTCAATATCCTGAATCCCCGGACCCTCTAAGGCTACTTGATGCAATGTTTATTCCCTCACCAAGCCAACGCCGGTGAGCACTCGCATTCACAGACACACGCACCGACGTGATCGGAACGCAGTCGCGATTCACAAAACGAATAATGTCACTCCATTCCGTGATAAGACATTTCGGGGCTGGGTCCCTCTTCGATAAGGCGCTTTCATTTACAGCCCGTGAAGAGGAGATAAGAGGGATCGCACACGAGAGGGAGGAAGCTTCGCTTCGTTGATGAAGTGCAGCAAGACACTCCTCTTTATACTTCGGGACACGACACACCAAATCTGAACGATAACCTGAGCTTCTTTCCCCGCTATTTTTAGTCGAGAAAGGAGACAAGTGGAGGATCTCAACCTGGAGTGTTTCGCCGGGAAAGGGAGAAAGAAGGCTTTTCTCTTTTTTTTTCCTCTCTTCGTATCTCTTTCTCTCGTTCACGCAAGGTAAGGGCCCTCTCGTGATACCGAGCGAGTACGACAGTAGGGGTCATTCATCAAGACTCCATTTCGTTTCGTGCCATTTTTCCCCCAGCCCCAACTTTTGGGGGACTCAGGATCACGAAAACTTCTGGGATGGAAACTTTCTCCCAACTACGACCATGGGATCGCGGAAGAGAATTCTCTTCTCCCGTGGACTTGGTTCATTGGAAACGGGGTTCAACGCCCTCTCCGTTCCTTTCTTTTTATTTCAATAGGCCATAATGGACATTCGGTGGGTTGACAGTGGGCTTCCAAGTAGGCAAAGAAAGAGACAACACTCAGATGAGAAGCGCAACCATAAGAGGGAAGAGAAACGAGGGTTGAGAAACATTTCTCAGGGCCTATGTCTTCTGTCATTGTCTCCCTTTCATGGTTGGTTCATTTTCCACACTCAGCATGAGACGTTCCATAGACGGAATCGGCCAAGTTCACACCTGTCGATTCTTTCTTGTCGCGGCCTCGATCAACATGGCAAGCGAGGAGATCCAAGGCCGAACCCGGTACAAGCAAAAGAAAAAACACAGGGAGGCCATTCTGTCCACTGTCGCTTTTTTTGTTCTCTCCAGTCTTTGGCAATCGTGTCAACGAACTTCTCCCCAAACGACGAGAAAATACGTTAGAATGAGCGCTGCCAGGTGCAAAAGGGAAAGGGAGGAAGACAGAGAGGAAAAAACAACCCGCCTATTTTCATGGTGAAAATGCCAGCATTGGATGGGCTCCAAAATGACGCAAGAACTCATTACATGCCATGCTCGTTGCAGAGTTGCCCCTGGCAACCTCAGCCTATTGCCTGCAATTAGAATGAATTGAAAAGGGTTTTTTTCCTTATCTCCCTTTCCTCACGTGAGCGGTTGGACTCATGGTTCTACCCTATCCTCTTCATTCATGTTCACAGATCGAATTTGCTGTTTGGCTTTCGCTCTAGCCGAGTCATTCAAGGGCATGAGCTGTTGTGGCGGATAAAAGAAAAGAAAAAAAAAGGAAAATTCGTTCCGGTCGAAGGATCTGTGATAGCCGGCGGGCAATTACCTGTCTCATTTCTTTTCCCTCCGGGCTCTTTCCATCTCCTCTCCCATGCTCAAATCCAAATCTCAGAGAGCCACAGTGTACCACTAACAAACGGACAGGAATTCCACTTTCACACCCAAGGAATGACCGTTTATAAATCAATACTTTGGGCCTATTTCTACATTCGGTTGTTCCACATGGGAAGTGAAGGGCTACAGCTGGTTTAGGATACGCATCCAGAAAGGGGGAGGGACTATATCGCTGTTTTAATGGGCATGATATTCGTCTGTGCGGAAATGCGGCACGTTTTTCCGGTGAGCCAAGGCCACTCTTTGTCTCGGGGATTCCGGGGGAAATCAGTCACCGTATGACACAGGTACACATGCAAGTACATCGAGTGTCAAGAGAATGAAAAGACCGAGGACGATCTCTGCTCTCATTTCCTCTACTTTCCTCCTTTCACGCTATTGTCATCTCCAGCCAAAAGAGAGAGAGAGAGGGGAAGGGAAAGAAAACAGAGGCCTCTCACCGGTGACAGTGGAAGAGGGTGAGGGAAGGGAATCGTCCCTTGCCTCACGGACGGCTTGATTATCGGCTTCCATCCCAGTCTCTCCTCGTCCCTCCATAGCTGTCGCGGTTCTACCTTCGATCTTCATTGGCGAAAATGAACCCGGGAAGCGATCCTGCCGCTCACGCTTACGCTCACACACACACACACTCTCTCTCTCTTTCTTCTCAGTCACAGAGTAACAGCCTCTCTCCGCACACACGGGAGAGCTGTAGGAGTGTGTACACTCAGGTAAAGAGAAGTAGGAACTTCGCTAGGGAGCGGGGAGGGGGAAGGTTCCTTCTCGGGACGGAGGTCCCCGCGTGTTCCGCTTGGACTCCCACCACATGGTCTCACTAGGCTCTATCTCCTCCAGGCTGCCAGTCACCACCGGTCATTTCCCGGCCCGGCCCTCTTCCTCAATATATTCTTACCCATTTCACGTTGCATCATCGCAGCCCAGATAGTCCGCCAGACTGCACCTAATCATGCTTTGCCAGTCTTACTTGTTTATCTAGGACAGGGTCTGGTCATTACCGATTATCCTAGCTGTCACAGGTGGTACGTGCATAAGTCGGGGCAGCTGATTTCTCACGAATTAGCCGATGCAGTCGATTTCTTGCGGTGCATGCTTCAAGGAGCCTCACACAATTGGTCTTCAATTGCAAAACGGTAGTACGATTCTTTCACAGGACATATTGGTTTAAGGAATCATGGAATGACTAAGCCACATTTGAAAAAGAAGACGAAACTGTATATTTCAGATCAATGCCAACAGCAACAAGGAAGTTGTACAAAGAACAAGCAGTCCTAAAAGTTGAAATGCCAAATAAGAGATCAAAAAGGCAATTGAGAAAGATGGGTCCAGGAATGACCGAAGATACAGTCTTGTTTTGGAGCAGAATGGTCCCACTAGACGGAAGGAGGCATATCACATTGTGGCTAAGGAAAATGGCATATGAATTGATGGGGGGATGTGGGAAGTAGAAAATGCTGGGTATTCTGAAATTTGGTCCATGGCCAAACCAGAAATGAGAATCAGATCCTTTTCAGCCAGATATTGGGGATCCGTGGAGAGCGATTGGGGATTATGGGATCTCCATTGTCATCAGCATAAATGATGGAGTTGGAGCTGACAGCAACAGGGATGTGATGATGCTGAGGGCAATCCAGTGATGATGCGCTCACACTGGGTAAACTGATCTTCCTATCTCGTGACGATGACAGGGATCTTGAAGTTCCTCCCATTCCTCCACTCTGGCTTCTTTGCCTTTTAGGTACTGGTTTGGGACTGGGTTTGTACTGAGTTGTCCTAGCATAACGAGACACTGACCCACGGTCATTTCTATTTGAGGACATAGTTAGGGGCTCTAGTTCATGAGTGTCACTGCTGTGGGCTGGAGCTGAAGACGTGGAGAGTGTAGATTCACTCAGGCCAAAGTTATACCGAGTCTTGTCTGCATGATCTTTAACTGTTGACCTGCAGCAAGAGGAACATGAACTCTTGGAAAGATGCAGTTGAGTGCAGTCTTTCTCTGGTCCTGCCACGCTCAGGAGACTCAGGAAGAAGATGGTTGAATAGATGTAACTCAGTGACATGAGAACAACTAAAAAGATTCCAATGCGAAAATATGCAATAATGTGCGAAGGGAACATGAGTAGCCCGGCCAGGAATGTTGTCAGAGCAGCCATGGTGATGGGGCTTCCCATCTGCGACAATGAGAACACTGTTCGACTTGTTCTGTCTTCTTCCAGGCACATCTTGTAAGCAATAGCATAATGAAGAGTGAAGTCACCAGCAAGGCCTATAGCCACAGAAACAGTGATGGCCTCAAGAACATTCAGGGTCCAGCCAAGGAGAACAAGGACTCCTGAGGTTGTAAAGATCACAAATGCTATTGTCACAATAGAATAAATACTGAGCAAGAGATTCAAGGTAGTCAGAGACAGAACAATGAAAGACAAAGACATGGCAATGCCAATTGCCACAGGAGTCCCATGAGCAAGGCTATTCTGAATATCATAAAATCCCAGGTCGCTAATAAACCAGCCTCTTGACATCCCAGGAGGAGCTGCCTTCATTTCTTCTTTAGTCCATGTTTCCAGCTCCATGTAAAACTTCTGCATATCCTCATAAGATAGAGAATACTTGAACTTGGTATCATATTCTACAACAATGACTTGTAACCTCCCTGATTCACGGAGGAATTTCGGACCTGCAATTCCTGGAATGTAGAATTCACTGGGTGTTTCGTACAGAACACGAAGGCCCTCTATGATGCACAGTTCAAACACATCACGAGAGAATGGAAATGTTGAGTTCTGACAGCAAGGACTCCTGTCCACTCCTTCTATTTCATCTATGCATTCTCGTGACATGAAGGAGACAAATGTTTCAATGAAACAGTTGGGCAACAGAGGACCTAGTGTTGGCTGGTAGAAGTTCTGTCTCCGTGCTTGACGGCAGAAGTTCAAAAGCCAAATCTGAGATTCTGGGGAGGTGGCATCAAATGCATCATCCAACATGATATCTCCAGAGTCATGAGGGTTGAGAGGGTTTCCTGTGTCAACTGGAAGAATTCCCCAGATGAAATGCATTGGAAGAGTGTGAGACATTTCATCCTTAACACGCTGGAACCAAAATGCTCGGTGATAATCTCTATCATAAGTTTCAAACAGGTGAGAAGAATGGAGAAGTTGGAAGAATCTGGAATCAGGAAGGCGAAGACCAGGAAGATAGACAACAGAAAAGATTCCCAGTGCTCCTAGGGTACCTAACAGCAGGAGCCATAACCAACGGCCCTTAATGATGGCACATGGGATGATCTTTTCAAAGAATACTCGACTCCAATCACAGATACTGGAGAAGACAGTGAGGCAGTGTAGACAAGCAGGAAGTGCTATGCTACAGTTGAAATACTTTTCAGAGACAACCACTGCAGCAGGAAGCCATGTGACCATGAGGAGGAAGTTGGCCAGTATGCACATCCCAGCAAACACCCTGCAATGCCAAGAGCACAAATTTTGGTCACAGACTTGTAATCTCTCCCCAAAACTAGCATATCAACTGATTTAGGAATATGAAGCTCCAACCCCATGCAATGAATTTCATTCTGAACTGGTTAGGCAAAACAAAACCAAGAGGAAAGGATAGGAAAATAGGAAAAAAAAAACCCAGTGAGAACTAAATATTATGCACAATAAAGAAACAAAAAGCAGGCTAATAGGGAAGTGCCATACAGACACCAAAAACAATCCAGTGGAAGTGGAAGGAAAAATTAATAAAATGGGGTGATTATATATTTGGTTAGGGGTTGGCTTTCATGAACATGAAAATCATGCACTGCAGCTCAGTGAAACTGGGGGTATAAGGCACATGTAGTAGAACACTGCCAAAAGAAACGTAGTCTCATAGGTGGTGCTACTTACATGACACATGCACTTGCAAACGGCTCCCTGCTACGTGGACCTCTATGCAGATTGAACTCCCTTGAAAGCCCCCACATTACCACCTTAGCACTGAATCCATTTGAGTAATAACATCACCTATGTTCGACTTGCTATTTAACCCTTTCAGACCTGGCATCCATTCCAATGAACATTGCATTTACATTGTGTCTATGGCAACTTCTTAGGATTCTCGTGACTTTGAGCTCCATATTACACTACAATGGGTGCAATTATGCATGGCTCAGTTCCATCAGAGACCTTCTCTTACCCATTAGTATTTTAATCTTCATTTATTTAATTAAATGTTTAATATATAATACATGGTATGATAAGGTAAATTTATACAAAATATGAAAACTACATATAAAGCACAAAAATTTCAATTACAATCACAAAAGAGCTCAAAAATGCAAAAAAGGATATAAGTCTGATAGCAGCCTTAATTCAGGTCTGAAAGGGTTAAAGGTCACCATTGTGGTCTGTTGTTGGAAATAGTCAACAATCTCCATAGAATTACAAATGAAATGGATTGCAAAGGGTTAACAATGACCACTTGAGAATTCATCATCAGCACCTCAAGGCGGCCTATATATACCCATCCAATAGCTGCACCCACTGTAAAAGCTAATGACATGATGCCAGCATAGCCCCATGGGGGATATATTATCATTTTAAATGTAGTATTCTTCAAGTTTTGCTATGTTACAGAGCATGCATAGTTTTTGTGCTAGTGTCAAACCTGTAAACCAACTTTTTAATTACCTGAAGGGGATACCATAAAAACCTGTGCACCAGGCTGAGGCTAAAGGAGGCAGGAACACAATCATCTTGGGCATACAAGCAATTTTAAGTGAAGGTGAGTGGGGATGCAGGAGTGAGATGTCAATTTCCACCATTTATTCATTCATAATGTAAATGGTACTCAATAAGTCTCATTCCTTGGCTCTTCCCATGGCTTAGTAATTTTTTTTCCCCAAGTATCTAGATGCTGAGAGGTGTTGAGAAGTTTTCATGAAAGTTTAATATCCAGATTACTTCAGTCAGAAGATATTTTTTGAGCTGAGTGACTTCTGTTCATGAGGGAAATAGGGCAAATCTAGACCATAAAAGATGATGATTCAGCATCACCAACACCACAACTCAAAACTCAGCTATGGTTAGATTGCAATGGTACATCCATCTGGGGATGGGTTTCCTATCTTGAAAACCATTAGATCTGATTCAAGCAGGCATATTTTCCCTTCAGAGGTTAGGAAATGGACATCTTCAATCAAACTCCCATCAAGAAACAAAAGAAATGCACAGTGAATACTCACCCAAAACATTTGATGGCTGTAATTTGCGAAACATATGAGGTGAAAAAAGCCACAGCAGTGGTGAGACTGGTTACAAACATGGAGAGGCTGGCATGCTCCAATGTATCAGAAACCAGTTTAACAAGTGTCCCTGCATTCTTCTCCATTTTGGCTAATTTCCACATCTTGCAGTAGATGAAAGCATTATCCACTCCGACACCTATTTCAAATAAAAAATACAAGGTATGACTCCTTCATCCTGGTCCATCTATTGAGAAAAAGAGGGAATGTAAGGGTTTAGAAAGGAAACTCACCAATGGCAATGATAACAGTGAGAAGATTCATGAAGGGGAAGAATGAAAGGCGAAAGACAACAGTGTAAAAAAAATAAGCCATAGAGAGACACATGATGATCCCAGCCAAAGTGACCACTGTCACAAAGAATGAGGAGGTGTAAAACCACAGACAGAATGAAACAATGATCCCTGCCAAGCCAACAAGGAGCATGTCATCAATCAGGAACTTGTCAAATAGTGCCCATTTTGAACCTAAAAAGAAGAAATCAATCTCCATGAAATAGCATACCCTGAACTACAACACTTGATACTGCACAATGAAAAGTACCAAAATCCATGGCCACAACTTGCACATTCCCAGCAGTGAGGTCATCATGGTGCAGCTGAAGAAAATATGGGAGCATGGAAGAGCTGCGTGGCAGTGGCAGAAACATCACAGTTGCCTTCAGCATAGTGGAATTCTCAGCCTTCATGGAATGAGAGGCATAAGAACAGAATAACAAAAATAAATCCAAGAGACCCCTCCTGCACCATTTCTCAGGTTTGACTCACTCCAGGTGGAAGGAAGTCAGTGTCAGTGAGGAAGTGAAGAATATTGTAGACAGCATTATGCTGGATGCAGAAATCTGGGACACCAGGACAACCACGATCATAACAATCAGGCAAGAGCTCCATATGATGATAATAGTGAGCACAGGCTTTTAGCAACACCAATGTCTCGTTCACATCTTCATTCTGCTCAAAGAGAAATGTTCACAGAAAAAAATTACTCCAAGAACATAATTTTTTTAATGGACATTTGACATTAAGATTTTTCTAGTCATACTGTGATATCGAAGCAGGAGGTATGATTGTGAAGGAGGGCTATGTAGGAAGGAAGAGACCAGGCTCGGCAGCATTGACCGGCTGATGATTCATCACAAAAATCTGAGTAAAGCTGCTTTTGGGCAAATTTTTTCTCAAGTGAGCAAATTGACAAGAGAGATTCTCTGGAGAAAAGGGTTCCATAACCATCAATGCTAGAGATCACCATGTGGCTGTATACATCCCCTGTTGAAAAGAAAAAAGAACAAGTAACAATTAGAGTATATTCCATGACTATAACAAGTCAAATAACAAATCAGAAAAGGAGTGGACACAAAAAAATAAGAACTGTTTCATCAGCAACCAAGCTTATGGTTTAAGCAACAGAAAATCTGTAGAATTCTGAGAGTAGGCAAGAGGAACATCAGATAACAAGCAATAGAATCTCAAAATCATGTGATAGGCCTTGGATTGGGTTGTGGAACGACCTGTTACAATCTTAAGTCATTATCAAAACTGACAGTGAACCAAGTTAACATGGATAGTGGGAATCATATTTTCCCCCAAACGAATTCTCACTGATGCATTGAGAAACCTGCTTCACACCAATACTGGTTGATAAAGATTGGGAACTTGGTATCAGTCATGATTTTTCCCTTGTCCCAAAACGATACAAATAGAATGTTTTAATAGAACTTATTTAATAGAAAAAAAGCACAGAAAGTTGAAGATGATCTGAGATGAAGCACAATTTTCCACACCAGCCTAAAATTCTGTCAAAATTCTCCAGAATAAGGTTGAAGCTTACCTCAACAACAAAAAAAGTTTAAAGTGCCAGACCACAACAAGAATTTCTTAAATTTTTGGTAAAAGAAATATAAAATGTAATTCCAATTGGACTTGTATTTTATCATCATCCCAAAAATTTATGCTGAAGACATTCCCTCACAATATGCATTCATCAGACATTAATAAACAGTACACAGCCTGTAGTGCTTAGACTACTAGCTCAATAGATAAGAAAAAAGACAACATTTTCATTTGCATGGCAAGTAAATTTCACTCATTTCACAGATACAAATTAGTCTAAAGATCGTTTAAGGGTCAGAATATGTTTCTAAAAGTTCGTGCTCCACCATGACCATGTGATTGAAGTGGAAGGTTGGTTGGAAGACATGAGAAACCTACTTTTTCAAAAGCCCAAAAGATCCTTTGCAATGTTGCTATTTACAGTTATACTGGGTGGTGGCACAGAAAAAAAGACCTCTTTGAGGCATGATAAAACCTACTGTAAAAATGCTACTTTTTAAATTTTTTGTCTCACTCAGAAAACACTCTAAAATTTGCTTAATGAAAGTTATGAAGTCTCTAGGTTGTTTGGGTAAATAATAACAATTGCTGAAACTTCAATAAGAAAGTTCTGCTCTTCCACGTATCAGGCAGCAGTAGTTGCAGCAGTGCTCAAGATATGCATCCCATTTGTTGCCAAATAGCCTTCTTCTTATGGCTGCATTCTTATGACAATGTTCCTGACTGTACACTGCATCATGTCATATTTTAACCCTTTAATGCATGACAGAGCAGATATGCTGCATACCAAATAAACACTTTTAGAATGCACAGGTAGCAAGCTCCTGAGGTAAATCGGTTTGTAGCAGATGTGCAACAGTCCAGTCCTTATACCTAGTAACCATGCGGTGGCTAGGTGCCATACACTCCTTGGGGCAAGCAAATAAAAAACAACTGGCTTCATCATGTAACAGATTGACATTTTGGTGCAATTACCTTCAACTTTACGCTAATCCAGTGTCCAGGCTCCTCTGTATTTTTACATTTTCTTTTGCATTAAGTTATGTACGAATGCTGACGGACCAAATGAGCTCTCTAGTGTCCGTGCATTGCAGGTTAGAAAACTGAAAATGCTGTTTGTAGCAAATGAGCAAGAATAACATTTTCGGGCCAACTGCTCACAAATTTGAGGTAAAATTTGTTTGTTCCCCTACTTCCCCCATGTTCTAGGATGTAAGTTAAACCTACCACATTTTTTTCACTGAAAAATATAAAAATCATGCATTAAAGGTTTAACAACAAAAAAAAGGCACTATGTTAAAGACGCATTTTTAAAAGGGTTGGAGAGGGAAGAGACTCCCCAGAAAAGTCTACAATTTCATGGAAAAGTCATTATCCTCTCTCTCCCCAGTTCTTATATTGGGGAGAGAGAGAATAATGTTCTAAAATGTTCTAAACACACCATCAAATTCTAGCCTTGGCTTCTCACCTGAGGCCTCAAAATACTTTGCAATCAAGAATACTATGATGAGGACATGGTATATTATATAGACTTCATGGCATGAAAGGAGAGATTTTTTTTTTTTAGCAGTGCTGAGACTGCATCCACAACTTGCATGAATAAGGGCTACATTTTATGACTGTACCTCAAATGACTGTCACCTTTCATCCAAATGACCTAGAAACATGAAACTTTCAGGAAACAAATTTCTAATTTTCAACATGATACGAAGAAATTATGAACCTATAATTTCCACAGCTGGTTTCATTAGGCATCAAAACAGAGTACACTCTTAAGTACACTGGTGGACAAAATTAAGGTAACAATCACAAAAACCAGAATAACATCTTTATTCTGTGAGGTATATAAATGAAAATTTGTACAGAGATACAATTTATCATTACCGATAAGTGTATAAAAAAAGAGGAACTTTGGACTGGTAATAACAGAGTCATGATAATCACATCATGAAACTAAAAATTACATGTTCCAAAAGACACGCTTAGAAGAAGACAATAGCCATCATCCTTTTATAGGCTTCACTAATTTGCATGTTGCAATGCACATAGATCAATTTCAATTGGATATTTGGAATTTGCATGTAAAAGTACATATAGTAACGTATTTTCGCATTCTAACTCACTATTGTAATTAAAATATTGATGAAAAACAGCGTTTCCTTAATTTTGTCCACCAGTGTATATATTCATGTATATATTCAAGTATCAAGGGTATCATCAAGTATCAACATCAAGTATATATTCATGAAGAGGGATGCTTCCACAACTGGTTGAGTATCGTCATCCATGAACTACAGCAGGGTTTTGACTAAAGGGAAAGATGGGGTACAGTTGTGAAGTCAGTTAAATCTCTTGTAACCTTTATAGCACAACCTTTTTTTATGCTGACATTGATGAAAGTTAACATGTAATGAACCATGAATACAACCATAAAAGACAACAAATATTACTTGGTAATTGTGACCATAGACGTCAGGAAAGCTCCAACCATACCATCTTTGTGCTTCAATTTATCTTTGAGTATAAAGGAAAGTGAAGCACAGGATTTAGTTTCCTAATCTGACATGAATGAACATTCCTTAGGAGAAACTAGAGGTAATTCCATTTATCCTTCCGAAAAGGAAAAGTCTATGGAACTTACAAACCTATTCCCTGGCTTTTGAAAAAAAAACAAAAAAAAAAATTATACATCACAGACATGATACAATTTCATAGTATGAATGATCTTTCCAGTACAAAGGATATGATACCCACTGTGATCACTTGATCACAACAAATTCACTTCTTGATATCCCATCCTTCATGCATTACGAACCCCTGGTTGGGAGGTTAAGAGGGCCTTCACCCTAAAAGGGGAGTAGACAACAGTATCATCCCCATCCTGTGCAAATCCTTTTCACTGTAGCAACCTCAAAGAGGCCATTTCCTGGGACCACATGACCCACAACCTGCCTAAGCCATTGCTGTTAACCCTGTGCTTCCTCTAACTCTATTTTCCCAATTTAGCACATCTTGGCATGTTCCAAGAAGTGCCAAGCTGGGAAGAAAACCCAGAATGAGTAAGAAAGACTGAAGGGTTCTAGACATGCCTTCAGCTACATGTGTATGCAAAAAAGTGATTGCTGCTTTACTTGAAGAGTTAATCAGGCCTGCATGATTGTGATTTGAATCGAAGAGAGAACAGGATTGCAAGAATGAATAAAGTGTGATCTAAAGAGGTGCAAAAACTTTGAAAATTAGTTTCTTGATACTTATATTCTTATGCTAACCTGGATTTCCACAGAAGAAAACTTCAGGGAATTCATTTGCCCCATCTTCTTCGTGCATGACTTCATCTTCTCCTGTTAATGCCAATTGCTCCAATTCTTTCCAGTCCTCATCAACATGTAGCTCATCTTTGTCATCAGTGTCAGTATCATCCAATGTTTCCTCCTTTTCTTTCTTCTTTTTTTTTTTCTTTTTCTTCCTTTTCTTGTTTTTCTTAGTCTTGTTTTCTTTCTTTTGCTGCATTTCCTCCTCCTGTTTCTGATGGATTTCCTTTGTCAGCTGTTCTTCATAAGGATTCCCAGAAAAGATGCCAGATGGCCTGGATGCTTCCAAGAGATTCTTCCATGATATTAAGCGTTGAGCAATCTCTGTGCCCCGAGTTTCAAAACCCTATGATCAAAAGCAAAGAAAATAAAAACAAAAAGACAAATGAAGTGAACTAGCATTTGTTGTGCACCATTTTCAATAGATAAATGTTCAGCCTGGGACCACTCCTTCCTTTACTAGCTATGTAATATTCCCATGGGATACATATGTATATTAGTGTCCAATAGAAATGTTACAAGGTAATTTAGAGCTCGCTTATGTAATAGAAGCTGAGATAATAATTCTGCCCTTTTCTGAACAAGTCACCACTGGTTGAACATTATAAGCATTTACTTGCTAACATGGGCGTACTGAAGAACCGTATATATATAGTCATTTTAGAGGTACATTTTTGAGGCACAATGCCCATATATTGGGCATTGTGCTTAGAAAATAGCAATTATTCAAACAGAATTAATGAAACCCTGAAGGAAAATTCATGCAATTATTGGTACTTCTTATTTCCCTAATGTGTTGTCATCTGTATCATGCCTCAACTGTATCATGGCTGTATCATGCCTCAACAGCAGAGCTTACTTTTGCAGCTCAGAATAACAACAAAAATTGTTGGAAATTTCACTCTCATCTATATTCATTAAGCCCATATTATGCAGCAAAAGAAAGTACAGTTCACTTTGCAGAGAAAGGAAATCATTTATCAGGAAATGTAAAAATGACAGCAGGGTCATTACACTGGAAGAAGTTAGGAAGTGCCATATAAGGATGACATTTAAAAAATGGCTGATAAGGTTAATGCTGAGGTGAACAACATAATGATCCACAAGTCAAATCAGTCTCAAAGGCTCTTATATGGTATGTGGTTAGAAATAACCTAATGAAACTTATTGGACCATATTGTTGGCAGGCATGGAAAGGATGAGAAGGATGCTGGTTGCTACTCAGTGACCTAGACTTTTGGCTCCTAGAGGTTACATGACAGTCATTGGGTTAGGAATCAGGACTTTCCCATGTGGAACTAACTCACAAAATTCATTTAAAAAATTGGTCAGTAATCACTTTCTCAGAGATAGGCTCCCAACCCCCATAATATGCCAGCTCCAGAATTGCAGTGTTTATACCTGAGGTACTTTTGGAACTCCAAAATATGAGTTGGTAATAGTGAAACCTGACTAGTGGACTTTTGGCATTAATTTCTTTGCTTTGTTACTTTTGCTTTTCTTTGTTATTGAAAATAAAGCATTTTTCTTACACCCTCCAAACCCTCCCCTTCCTGTCAATGAAGGCCTGACATAGGACCCACCAGAGAAAAATTGAACTTTGGGGTTTTTTCAACAGTGGACCAGAAAAGGCTTAATCCTGCAAAGAAATAGGGGATCCATTGATCCATTCATCTTCAGAAACAATAAAATGTCAGTATTTAATACAACAGCTGAGATTCTCTACTTCTCCTCCACTCCCCCAGCTTCCTACTCCATTCCCAGCAAAATAGTGATTGCTCTCCTTGTTATACCTGCAGTAAAAGCTCTCAGTAAAAGAGTAAGAATTAACTTGTAGCAAAAATTAGGAACAGTCATCTCAGTTACTTCTGATCACACTAGTGAATGAGGAAATGAATAGGAAATAAGCAGTCCTCTCTGTTTATCTGCCTCAGCCTACATCTATCCTTAGCCACATTTTCAGGATATGGGTCATAAAAAGCAATTTACCATCAGAACAGGATGCAATTTCTGCCAGTGTAAATATGTATCCCATGTGAGCAAATAACAACTAAAAACCTTCAGTGTGACTAATGCAGATCATTTGCAGGTACTTCTAAAGGTGAAAAAAGGAGGGTACATAAACAAAAGATGGTACAAACTTTTAGAAGCTAACATATGATACCTTACATCCAGTGGACAAAATTAGTATTGCTTCTCAAGCATTCCCATTTGTTCAATGACCAGATCTAGTTGATTATATCATCTACTGCAAAAACAATTGTCAAATCACAGTTATGTACACTGCAGGCCAACAAAAGGGTTTATATTGCCTCACCAAGAGAGGATCTTCAAATGAGGGAAGACGCTGCTTAATAATGGAGACAGTAGTAAGCACTCCCACAACCACAATGACCAAGAGCAAGAAAAGGCACGGGTAGTGTGCTAAGAGTCTTGCATATCTGGAAATAAAATGAAAGGTCAGGAAGTTCATTTAGCATAAAAGTTCAGCTTGAATATGCTTTTTAAAATATAACTGAATATTGAGAATTTTTTACAGGCCTACCGGCTAGTCATAGCTGGATTCCTCTTTGGTGATGACTAGGAAGTTTGACCTACCACACAGATCCACCAGCAGATCCTCCATGAATTGCAATTTGACAGCTCAATGCCATATGCCATGAGCCACAGAAACTCCTGATTGAAAAGAGAGTACAGAGCCAGTCAAAGAGGATCTTTCTTGCACAAATCTGGGTTGGCTTTTACTGGTTTCAGCCAGTCATTCTGATAGCAACTGCTATCCACTGATCTGGGCCTGCCTGCAAGCAGCAGTCACCAACTAGGCTTCCACCAGTTACGAATAGCATTACCTGGAACTGGAGCAACACAATTTACCTCACCCTATAAATCCAAGAATCATTGTTGATCACAGCAAGGTCTTGCTCTAAATGCTTGGCAAAGCATAGCATTTAGGCTATAGGCCAAAAGTGACAAATTTGGGAATGAATAGCTCTGTTGGTGGTGAGCCTAGCCCCCACAAAATAAGGCCATGGTTTTAGAGCAGACTAGTTTATCAGAGTGCAAACCTCAACAAGTTTAGGAAGGGAAACCCTTAACATGTGGATTCTAACCTCTCTATGTAAGGGTTTTGGTATTAGAACACCTCCCAAAAATTGAACAGTTTGTGTCCTTGCAGGCTGATCATACTCTACGGCAGAAACATAGAAGAACATTATCATAAAAAACTTTGGTAGAAAGCTTCCTTATGCCTAAAAAAAAACGTGATAGGGAAAGCCCAATTGTACTTAGGGAGAGCCTTTAAAAGAAACCTAAGTACTGGAGGATGGGAACCCGTCAAAGTATCCTTATTATCACCTAATATTAGACCTATGGGCTGCGATTCTAGAGAGCGGGCGGGCGAGCAGAGAGCAGACTGAAGGTAAGTCAAGGCCTCCGAAAAACTTGTGAAACTTAAAGAGCAAAAGCCGGAATAAACAAGGAGAATGTAGGCCTCGGAAACGGAAGAATTTCAGGAACCCATGTAATACGGTTATAGTTTCAAACAACACCAAACAATTATGATTACTCCTACAACCGTCTATGGGGCTTCTCGCGCATGGGTATTTAGTCGTATGAAAAGATGTCAACTCAGCAACAACAAAAGAATCAACAGTAAGCATGGGTCAGTGTTATTTCAATGGGTTGTATCTTCCTACTTCTCACAGAATCTTCATGGCCAATGCAAAAGGAAGCACGAAATGACTGTAAAATCACTAGCGTTAGAGGTGGAAACGCTCGCCTTCCACTGTGAAGTTTGAGCCGCGGTTACAGCACAGCCAAAGTCTGGGAAGTAGTGAGAAATATACGGAACACGGCGCCCTCTAACATTTCTGCTTTCTCGCAATGCAGTTCCATATAAAGTCGTCGCCACTTCAGTACCGTCTACCTAGAGTTCCCAGATTGACTTTTACCCCCGTTTACACGCGCTCTGTACTGTTCCAGGTCTCTACCATCCAGTTGTGAAGTGGCAGCCCCCTCGCCCAGGAAAGGATGTCGTTCCATGGACTTCATAGTGATATCCCATAGTAATTCACTTAAATTGCCATTACTGGATTTCTCTCAACATTTCCCTCAAGCACCTTAGGCAATGGCATCTGCTAGGCGGGTGAGAGTCAAACCGCAAACTCTAAAGTGAGTAAGAAAAAGCCTGAAGCGGCTCAGCCTAGAGCTGGGCAAAAAATAAATATTGAGTAATCAGTAGCCATTACCAATTACTCCTTTTTTAGTGCTGATTTAATTAGCCAATGCAATTAAGCGGTGAGATATGTAATCGCTATCAGAAATTTGAATTTGTCTGCGATTAAAGCACAAAGGGATCTTACTAGGCTCAGGATTCCTTCATGTCAATACTGTACAATGGCATTCAGTTTGCCTTCGTGACCAAGGCCACATTACCGAATAGGCGAACAAGGCGCGCTCCTCGTGAAATGGGACTCGAAGTCGTTGGATATGATGATGAACGAAATTAAGTTTCATCAGATTTATATGGCTTCATTCGGTGTTTTTCATCTTCGCTATACCTGAGGAAATCTCTCGATCATTTGCACAAATGCGTGCCACAAAGCCAGAAGCCGATCGTCAGATCCCATAGTTCATCCACGTGAACACAAATAGGACATACACACCCCACAACCGTAGGGATACCAGATGCATGAAAGACATTCATTTAAAATGATTTGGCCGATTCAAAAGGAAACAGAAATGCATGGTCAAATGAAAATTATAAGAAAATCACGACGCAACTTTGCATCTTGGGTTGAGAGGTCTTGAACTTCAATTTCTTCGAGGTTGGAAGCTAGAGCCGACTGCTTTAATGCGGTAGAGCTCTGCTTTTGCTTTCGGCGAAATTTGTCACAAGTATTATAGTTCCTTTCCTCTACATACACCATACGACTCATGCTACCCACTGCTACTCTCCTCTGTTCATTATTCTACCGTGTCTGCACCATGCTACTCCATGCTACCCATCACTACTCTCCTCTGTACTTTAAAACGTTTCACACAAGGTTCACACGGCTCCTATGGAAAAAAAATTCTGGAAGCTCATTTCGTAATCGACATTGAATACACATCTCGAAAGTCCTCTTACGGGAGAGGCACATACAACGGCAGGATTAATGTCCCAGAGAGCAGGATATGCAACAAGTTATGTAGAGGGATCTTCAGTTGCAATTTCTGGAGACTGGCAACATTAGAGAAGAAAGGGCAATCGATTATTATGATGCCGTCATGAGTGAATGAAAATTGACTCCTGAGGGATGAACAAAATGAAGATGGAGCTAGCATGGCCAAGAGGGTCCAGCTAGGTCATACCTGACCCTTTCCACACTCCGGTGTCATCTCGGATGCATTCCTTCGCACCCGATTAGCCTCTCTCCTGGGTAAGGGCTCCCGACTTGCAGAACACCGCTCATAGAGAAAGAATGACGTGCAGGAAATACGAGTATGATCATAACGCCAGCATTCCCATATTCAAATAAACGAAAAAACGCCCATACCTGCTAAGTACGTAAAAATGCCCATATGAGTAATACAGTATTTCCAAATATCTCTTGCAGCTTCTTTTTTTATTGGACAAAACAAATACAGAATATATTCCGAAAGTAATTTATAACCATGAAATGCATTAAATAAACTATCTTCAACGTAATTAAACATGAACAAAAGATGAAAATTCCCAAGATATACATTCCTGAATATTTCGACGCTAGATAAATGAAAGGATTGTTTCCTGGTATGCCTAGGGTAATGTGGGAAAGAGGTCACTTGAGATCAAAATCAGGTCTGTGGGATTATGCTGCTAATTCACTCATGCTCATTTCGACAGCAAATGACATGAGAATGTCCGGTCGCCTGAAATTATCGTGTAGATAGGGGCGTATCGATTCTGAGGAAGGCTGAAAGGTGGAACTCCCTACAGAGGATCATGTGAGAAGTCTTTAAATGGAGTTTTAGATAAGCCCCCGACAACTCTTGAGACAATCTTTTCGTGTCCCTGTGGAGTGTGGCATTGTTCGACGTGTCTAGAAACGGATATTATAGATATGATGTCTGATGCCTTTTCATTTTTCTTCAATTTACTTCATATGTTACTGTATGAAGTTCACCACAGACCAGAAATGCGGACGAAAATAATCTTCGAAGAATTCATGTATGTGAAGCTCTCTCAGGAGTAGCTTTGCGGAGTGGGACAATCTAATCGTTACATGAGTAATTAATATGTGGCTGTCGAAAGTTCCACTTTGCAAAAACGCTTCAACTGCCACCAACATTTTTTTTTTGCATTGTTTGATTTGTAATATTCCAGCAATGCAATGAATAATATGCTTTATTTTACAGAATAAAGAAAATAAAGAAATTAAAATCTGGAAATAAAATTCAAGTGGGCATTTTTTCCTACTTGGTACGTATTGGCTTTTTTCAGTGGGCGTCTTTTGGGGACGCCGAGGCAAGGATACTTTTGACATCGGCTGACAAGAACCCCCATCTTGAGTAAATGTCCCCGGTTCTTACATCCCTGATGGCAGTCTGAGTGGGAATAACTAATGAGTTGTGTTTATGAGTCCTCGACATGAAACTCTTCCTTTTAGGCCGCATTTCATATCTTATCAGAAAAGTGCCCATTATTATTGCACCCTGTGCGGAGCATGGGCTCAGCTGGGGCTTGTTCAGGCTTAATTAGTTTCGTATCATTCATGTGTACTTGTTTTTCAGCTTTTATTTTTACTCAATACTGCTACTTTTCATATTCACTTTTTTGTTCTGAAGTATTTATCAGTTCAATTGTTCATTCATCAGTGTTCCAGAAATGGTTGAATTCTATCATGATTGCATTTTTTGCCTTTATCTTTGTAGCACTTTGTGAAAACGGGAGGGAGAGGAAAGTGAGAGGACTCAATATTCAACATGGGGTTTCAATGCGTGATGCGACCATATTGGGTGGGCCAAAAAAGTTAACCCATTTTCGTTTGATTGTTTTACCCATACTAATTAAGACCCACTCGCGCAATTTGGAAGGTCCCAGTCCGTACCATGGTTGAAAAGCTAGCCTATTCTATATTGTCTCCCAGTAACAAGTAGCCTTTGGAGTCACCCCTCCCTGGAATTGGCTAATAAATTCTCTATCGCCGTCTGTAATGAGAATGGAAGACTTGTGAGTTCGTCTTCTTCATGGCCGGCCTTAGGCATGTGCCACATGTGCCCCCGCACAGGGCGCAATTTCACCAGGCGCGTCAAAACGTGACTGAATGAATGAAGCAATAATGGATGCCACCCTCAGTTTTACTTCAGAACGTGGAAATGCCTTCCGTTTCGGCGTCCAGGGATTGACCCTTCTCCCTTCGGGGGGGTTAGGAGTCTCTTTGCACAGGGCGCAGAAATAGCTAGGGCCGGTCCTGCCTCACTACAGAACGGTGTGCCGGAGGACCTAGGGAGGTCATAAAAAACCTGCCCCCAGGCAAGGGAGACTCAAAAAGGGTAGGGTTGGCATGAGCGACAATTATTGTCATACCATTATGGACCGATCCCAGGCAGATGACTCCAATAACTGACCCGGAGAGAGGCTAGTCAACCCTAATGCTCTTTACCCCCAAAAGCATTAGCTTCAACCTTCTTCCCAACGATAACGATAGAGTTCTGAAAGGACCACTAACGTTCCTTAAACAATACATACCATACTATGGCCTCCTTTTGTGGGGACGCATTATCCTTGGATTTTGGCCAGTTGGTATAAAACGCTCACATTCCGAATCGTATATCAACGTCATTGACCTGCTTCTAATGATAGTACCTTTTAAGTACTGCAGC